TCTCTCTTTTCTACACTCACTTCCTCTCACTTGCTCTCTCTCTTTTGCCCTCCAACTCTCTCTTCCCATCTCTTTTTTCTCACTCTCCTTTTCTCTCCAACTGTTTCACTCTTTCTCTCTGCCCCCTTTTTCTCCCTCTTTTCCTTCCTAACAATCGCTCTTAAACATAACTCAAAAATAATATATTTACTTAACTTTTTCAAGGCAACCAGTTTCCTAGATTCTAGAGAAGTAAGATCAATTTATCAACTACACTGCACTCTTTCCCTTTTGCTCTGTCTCTCTTTCCTTCATTCTTGCTCTCCTTTTCCTTCTCTCTCTCTTCCTAGCTTTACTTTTCCATCCTTTCCACTTTCTATGCTTCTCTCTCTCTTTCTTTTTTGCACTGTCTCTCTGTTTCCTTCCTTTCTCTCTCTCTCTCTCTCTCTCTCTCTCTCTCTCTCTCTCTCTCTCTCTCTCTGTGAGTTTCTATTGTAGCATATTCCAAGTTGTGGTAAAGGAAGGGATTTTGTAGAGGAAATAAACAGCATGAATGTATTTGGATCTCAGAACAACAGAGCTCAGGCCAAGCACTTACGCCATACGAGGGCCTGCCTGAAAGTATTGCGAGTGAAATATTTCAGAGGCTTTGCGAGTGGAGTGTGTTTAAGAGTCTGTCTGCTATGGTCAAACAAGCACTCTGTCTTTTTAAGAGCGCTGCGCAGGTATGCCAATAGCAATGCTGAGCCGCATTATTTTCATGTAGCACAGCATTGTAACATCCAACACATTTAGACGCAGCGTGAAGCGCACAGCGATAGCCAGTGTGTGTGTGTGTGTGTGTGTATATGTGTGTGTTAACATGTGTATTTATTTTTGTAATGTTTCAGTACTCTCCACAAATATTGGTACACCTGGTAAAAATAAATAGGCTGTAAAAACATTCTTTATTGCTCATCCTTTTGATCTTTTATTGAAAATATTGCCAGAAATCCAACCTTTATTTGAATAAATAATATAATGAAAAAATTTATTTTTCTCAAATCAACAAGTGCCACAATAGTTCGCACCCCTCCATTTAAAACTTTGTGCAGCCTCCCTTTGCGAAGATAACAGCTTTAAATCTTCTCTTATATCGCTTAATGAGACTGGAGAACACATGACAAAGGATCTGAGAGCAGTCAGCATACAGAACCTCTCCAGATCCCTCAGGTTCTGAGGTTTTCTATGGGGTTTAGGTCAAGGGACTGGAATGGCCATTGCAATACCTTGATTCTGTGGTAACTGAACCATTTTTGTGTTGATTTTGTCCTCCTGGAAGATCTAACCATGGCCCAATTCTTCCTGGCTGATGGAGGACTCTATGATACCTTGAACAAGATGTGTAGAGCCTTTGGCAGAAAAACAGCCCCACAAAATCACAGATTCAACACCGTACTTCATAGTAGGGATAAGGTACTTTTCTGCATGGCTATCTTTGCGTCTACACCAAACCCACCTCTGGTGCTTTTGGCTAAAAAGCTCTATTTTTTGTCTCATCTGACCATAAAACATGGTCCTACTGAAACTGTAGGCACTTACATTTATAGGTTCTTGACAGCAGAGGCTTCTTTCTGGCAACCTTCCCAAACAACTTGTGATTATGTAGGTGGCATCTGATTGTAGTTTGGAAAACATTCTGGCCCCAAGATCTAAATTATTTCTTTAATTCCAGTTAATCTGTGATCCTTGATTATTCTTTGGCCACTCAAACTATTCTCCTCACAGTGTGTGGAGTCAAATAGACATACATCCTCTTCCCGTAGGTTCTTAACATGTCCAGTTGCTTTGCTTCAAACTTCATTGTTGCTCTAATAGTGAAAATAGGCATTTCAACCATTTAGCTTTTTCTTGTAGCCATTTCCTGATTTGTGCAGCTCAACAACCTTTTGTCACACATCACTGTCAAACATTCTTTCTGACAGTGATGGAGGACTAAAGGGGTTTGGCCTGTGTGTCGTTCATATTTATACCCAAGTGAAACAGGAAGTCATGACTCACAATTTAAGCATTCCTAATCACTCGGGTGAACTTTAAAACATAAATTGTTAATGTGGATATACTTCAATATATTCATATGAATGTAAGAATTTCTTGAGGTACCAACAATTGTGGCACACATAGATAGATTTAGAAAAATATTTATTTCATGATAAGATTTAGGTTTTTCTTTCAATCATTGCACTTCAAATAAAATTTATATTTGTGTTATTATCTTGAATGAAAGATCAAAAGGTCAATATTAATAATGTCCAAGTCAGGAAACTGTGATGGCCATTCCAAAAGCCTCATCTTGAGTTTCTTGAAGTAGTTCTTGGTGGATTGTGAGGTATGTTTGGGATTATAATCCTGTTGTGGATGCCAGCTTCTTTTGACTCTTTTCTCTTTTGACTGACTGTTACACATCTGCTTCCAGAATTTGCTAAGAATTAGTGGAATCCATTCTTTCGTCTACCCATGCAATGCAAATCACAACAGATGTTTTAGCATCTATAAAAGATGTCCTTTTAATGAATAGCTTCTTATTTTATCTCCACAGCACTTGCTTACAAAGAGCTTCTGGCTTTGCTAGATGTTGCTTTGCATACGTTGCGTGGATGATTGTGATGAGGTTGCAAGAAAGGTGTTCTCATAAATCTTCAATGGACCATATGTTTGGACAAGCAATGCTGCACAGTGCAGCAGTGCACCATCACTCCTGCATCAGCTAAACCTTCTTGCAGGTCCTTTGCTGTCATATGGGGGTTTTGCTTTGCATTTTTAGCTAGCATACGAGCAGTTCTATCTCAGAGTTCCACTCCACAGTTAATCTCCACTGTTTCCCTTAACTTTCATACATTAATGTCAGTGGAATGTGCAAGTGGGAAGTGCAGTGATACATTTTAAAGCCTCCCCTTGCTTTGTATGCATTAGGCTTCATTTTCAGATCAGCCAGCTGCTTAGAGAAGCACATTGTTGTTGAGTGTTAGCACAAGGTTTGAAGAATCAAAGAATTTATTATGCTCTGGAATAATCACTTGACAAGTCCTAATGAAAATTGTTGACCTGCCTAACCAGTCCTAACAAGTCAATTAAGATCTAATTCGGTTCTGAGAAATTGCATATGCACAAGTGTGTCCAGGTTAAGCACATACCACGATGACTATATTTTTATATATTCTAAGTTAAACAAATATAAAGTATGTAAACTATGCATTTACACTGGCAGAAAAATTTTGATGTTTTTATGTTTAGTCAGATTTTAGTCAGATTTTCTTCATAGAGACACAAAGGTGGGAATTTATTTAGTTATAGTTATAGCGATTATAAGCTAGAATTAGACATTTTCATCTTTCATGTGATAAGTTTGTGAGTTTTGCAGCTCAACAGAGTTACACCCCACCTGATCTATTCTGATCATTTGCCTTTACCAGTTAGATGCTACTGCTTTGTTTAAATATATTCTTTTGTTGTTATTATTATTATTGTTGTTATATAATAATAATAATAATAATAATAATAATGATTTTACATCATATTATATACTTCACATAATCAATAAAATGCTTTAATTAACAACATTGACATTTGTGGTGTTTTTATTTTTACTGTCATTTTTTTTTGTCATTAAAATAAAGAGAAACCATTAAGACTGAAACAGAAAGAGGTCTCATTTCAAATCATAATATTTTTAGTATGGCATTTAGATTTGATATAACATGCATACATGTAGAACCTACATTACTGATTGATGCAAGATTCATCAAAAAGTTTAGCTTTAGGCAGTGCTGAACCTTGACTACTAGAGGTAGGCCTTCAGTTCAGGCCATAAATGTCAAAACTTGGTCAAAACATGAGGAAAAAAACCCTCTATGATAAAGCGTCTGCTAACATTCCTACAGGTTTCTCATAGTTTGTTAGCACTGAGCTAACAGCAATTCACATTAATAGGTTTTGGCAGTTCTAGATTAAACAGACATTTGAAGCTTGTAAAAGACATTCTGTGTTTTGCTTGAAGCTTCTGTCAGACATATTAGCATATATTTTACCTTGTAGCAGTTTCACAGTGACTCTTTCAGTAGAGACGTCTAGTGTAGAGCTGCCGCTACTGTTTTACATTTTTAACAAGGCACTGATTTGGCTGCTGTTTGTACTCACAGTCACTGACATATGTGGGACTTGCAGAAAGCCTAGAGTGACTTTTTTTCTCCAAATATTGGTTCCGCTTTTAGGAAATCAAAATGTGATTGATTGATTCATCTGTCACTTTGTAATTATGCTGAAAGGTAATCTAACTAGTTAGGCCTTCTCTTCAGCTCTTAAAGTCATAACCAATAGGAGAGCTTTCTTAGCTATATCTACCAAGATAACACAGAGAAAATAAATTCCTGATTGGTCAATGTTCCACTGACTGTTTTAAGGATGTTTTGTGAGCTTAACAATGAAACAAAAGTAGTACAGTAATACTTGCAAAGTTTAAATTCAAGCATGATTATATTGGGTAAAAATGAACTAAATATTACAGACATGCATTTTTTAGTTCCCAGAAGTGATTAAGCCTTCTCTGAAGGCCCTGAATGTTCTGAGGTTTCCCCATTGCTTTATAGGAAATGGTCATTGTTCTTAAAGTGAGGCATTTTCCTGCAGTTTTGCCTATGAAATAATGTGTTTTTTCTTCTTGGACCAAATGGTCATTTTGTAAATATGAGACTTTATGACAGCAAAGACAAATGTAGTACACATCCTGAGAAGGTATAATGTTTATGTGCTTGTTTATGATCCTGTTTTATTTAGATCAGCGAAAGCCAGTGAAAAAAGTGCAAGTTATCTAGAAAAACAGACAAACCTGTCTATGTGTAACAATAACACACCTGCGAAATGTAGCATATTAGTTTTTAAAGTGACTACTGAGTGTGTGTGTGTGTGTGTGTGTGTGTGTGTGTGTTTGTGTGTGTGTGTGTGTGTGTGTGGTATCAGCCCTGTCTCTTTTCTTTCTCTGACAGCTTCTGGATTTGGACTGCAGGTAATCGTTGTTGACTCTGGAGTGTAGTTTTGGCTGTTTGGCAGAAAGCTGGCATTGATGCTGAGAGACTGCGCTGTCCAAGCCTGGCCGAGAGAGAGGCCGAGCTGGAAAGTGGGTGAGCAAGTGAATGTGAATGAGAATGTCTGTGTATTTGTGTGAGTTTGTTTGTTTGTCTGTGAGAGAGAGAGAGAGAGAGAGAGAGAGAACGAGAGAGAAAAACTGAGCAAGGTTAAACTGAGCGAGGTTATCTTTATGGGGAGGGAGGTAGATCATATGAATCAGTCAAATCTGCCATTCAGCATTTAATTGGAGGTCATAAATCATCTAGGGCAGCACTCCTGAGTGTGAACAGCCCTGTGTTGGGTTTTGGCCTGGCTTGGAAGTGTGTGTGAGTGTGTTTGTGTAAGGAGTTTGCTTGCAGTCATGTTGGACTCTTCCTCACTCTGCCCAAAATGCTAACATTTATTCAAAATGAGCATTTATTTTAATAAAGCCATTTGCACATTTTATCCATTTCACATGTAAAGGCCTGAGAACAGAAAGAACGATTATAGTCTTCCTTAGAACTGTACTTGCTAAAGGAATAGCTCGACCAACAGTGAATGGATGCTAGTAACCACCAAGTAGCTTGATCTCACAAAACATGCTAAAGTGGCTAACAGTAAATGCAATCTACTAACTAACAATTGGCATGACATCATTTGCATGTCCCTTTAACAGCTGCGTGAATTGAACATGTCACACTGTTTGGCCATATATAATCTGTCATTAAAACAAACTACTACATTATCTGTAGTTATTCACTTGTTTAATTAGGCCTGAACTCTATAAAATAAGTTTAGTTCTGACCGAGTATGTCCACCCTCATCTAACAGGCATCGATCCCAGCAGTGGATAATCCATAGAGACAAATCTGTGGTGCTTTATGACCTGAATCCGTATGTTCTCAGCATGAGCTTTAAAGGAAGCAGACAGGCAGTGAGTTAAGCCTGTAAGGTCACTGGCTCAGACAGTAATGGCAAACTGCACTATATTAGATCTCCATTTACAAAAGAGTCTATTAGACCCTGCATTGAAGAGAAAAGTACTGACCGTATTTTTTCTTTTTACGATATAATCTTCCTTAGTGCTTGGAAAACTACTTCATATATGAATGAAAAATGACTGGAAATAGGAATAATTTTATTTCTTTGGTTAGTAATGGTAGCCAAGCTGAAAAAAGCTGATTTTAAGACAGTGCATTGACAATAATTTAAATAAATGATGATTTACTGTAATTATATATATATATATATATATATATATATATATATATATATATATATATATATATATAAAATTATACATTATTATTATTATTATTATTATTATTATTATTATTATCATTATTTGTCTATAGGTCCATCCATCCATGAATATTGAGACAATGCAAAAGCCAACTGTCGTTTTTAATTCATGTGAAAAAAAAAAGAAAAACAAAAATGGAGATATAAGGTTTTGCTCTGACAATGACTACATACATGTGTATACATGTGTATCTATCTATCTATATATACATATATATATATACATTTTATAAACAATATGATGAATGATGAATGATACAAACATAAAATAAGTACATAAATACAAAATTATTATATAAATATTAGGAATATAAACATCAATTTCCTATGAATTAATTAACATGCCAGTTGACTTTTCATTGCAAGTGTTCTGGCAATCTTTAGGTAAATAACACCTCAATTGAATTTTGAGGTGTGATGTTTGCACTGTAATCATGTAATGAATCATCCATCATATTTCACTCACTCTTATACTTCGCTCTCTCAGAGTTTGGAAATAATTTTTTTGGAAAAAAAAATAAAAAGGGGAAAAAAAACTAATAACACCAACATTCCTTCAATGGCTCCTTTTTCGTGCTTGTGTTTTGTTTCTGTGTTACTTTACCTGCCGGGAATGCTGGAAATATGACGGTTATGAATAAGAGCTCTTGTTGCCGAGGTGGCTGTGTGTGTGATGTGTGAGGTCGCGCATAACTCGGGCCTTGTCTCTCCTCAGGTGGTCAGCCAAGGGTCAGGGCCTGGCCAGGCCTGCCTCCTATTTGCATTCAATTAGGGTTACGAGCTGCGTAAATGAAAAAACTTGCGCAGTGTGCTCAGGAAAGCGAAGCGCGCTGAGTTTCTCTTTCCACTGCTGTTCTGACTTTTTATTATTTATTTTAGTTTTTTCTGCTGCTGCTGCTGTACGAAGCAATTAAGTATTAAAAGAAAACGAAGGCGGAAAACCACGGGAGGAATTCTGAAATGAAATGATAATTAGTCGTTTCTAAAATAAGGAGCCATTAGTAGCGGAGGTGTCAGAAAAGTCATGAGGAGGCATAAATCACGATGTGTCGTTTTCACACGCACATACAGCAACGCAAACTTTTGCGTATACACACACAAACACACACACACTGCTGTAACAACGTGTACATGTGCTGGCGGTGTGATGTCCTTGGGGAGCACTGAAATGTTTTTCATACACTCTCTTCTCATCCTGCAGGAGCAGCATGATGTCCCACACACAGAAAGGACATTGAGATGTTCAGTGGTTTGGATGTGGCCCATCTGTGTACAGTAATTGGTGGGGGGGTGGGGGTGGATTGTGGAATGCACTCAGTAATGCAACAGTTGTATCTCTGTTAGGGTCCATGTTTACCTTGATATCAACTGATTCTAAAGAATTAATGGAAACGTTACAGGGCTCTTATCATGGAAAAAATCGTTTTTCTCACTTTCACTAAATAAAGCAGTTTCAGGTAGTAAAGCTTCAGGACATAATATTCACTCTACAGTCTATACACTTTATATATGGAAAGTAAGCTGCAAAAGCAAGCTGTTTTGGATTTACTGTTTTTGTGATGTCACAAAGACCAACACATGGAATGGAAAAAGTACAAAGAACTGTACTGAAAGTGTCGGTAAAAAGAGGAAGTCTGGTGCTCAAGGTATACTTAAATAATAGTAAAAAAACTATCAACAGGTTAACATAGTATACTCAAGTATACTGTATAAAAGAATAAATCTGTAAAAGACAAAAAAAGGTAAAAAGTCGGACAGCGGGGTGCCAGACAAAATCAAGTATGTTTTCTCAATGATGGTAAAAATCTGTAAAATTATACTCTTATACTCAGAAACACTGTCTTTTAATGTAATTCAAGAGTTTCACTAATATTTTACAGTATTGTCCATGTAAATAACAGTGACAACCACTGAAACAAACATAAGTGTCTGCAGTAAAGATAATCATTTGTTTCTGTTCAATTAAATTCTGTTTCTGTAAATTTACCACACTGTCGCTAAAATACAGTATATGCATGGTTTATTTGCATGCATTTAACCTTTTTATTTTATGGTACTTTGACAGTGAAAATACTTTATATACTTTACAGTGTATTTAAAAGTAAAAAGTAAATGGTAAAACTTTAAAGTTTTCTTTGTTTTGTAGTAACGGATGCAGTGACTATGGGCGAGTAAATTAGCATAGTTTTATTTTATGTTGACACAAATTTGGTTGGTTCTTTTAATAAAAACAATTTAAAAATAAAAAGCAACAAATCTTAACTAATTGGCAAAAGAAAATAGAAAAATCTTTTCAAAATGGAAACGTAAAGAGTACAATGTGTGTTTTTTTCTCTGGACAATGTAAATAAATAATAATACAATTAAATAATGTCAATAGTACTTGAATAAAGTGCAAATCTTCTAAAATAATACTTAAATACAATGCTTAATTACAGTTACTGAAGTAATTCCTGAAGGCACGTATATATACATATATACAGCTATTTAACTTAGAGTAGCTATGCCCCACCCACTCATGTTGAAATTATATAAAGTGTTTCACCCCTGACATTGTGGACAATGTGATAATTCAACTGACAACCATATTTGACAATGGACACCTGAGACCATTTTATTTTCAGAAGTTTTATATTTCATAGCCCTGAAGGTATTTAAAGAAATTACTTTCAAAGTCAAAGCAACAGCAACAAAATCAGCCCATTACATTCTAAAGGACTCTAAGAGGAGTTGGTTGATGTGAAAATGAATTATGACTGGTTTTGGCACATAAACCATGCAAATATTATAAGTGGCCTTCAGAGAAAATACAAGTATATTAACTTCCAAATAAAATACAAGAGAAAATGTACTATTTGGCCACTTAAATTATGCTTGTATGCTACCTTTGAGCATCTACATGAGGAGAGAGAGAGAGAGAGAAAGAGAGAGAGAGAGAGAGAGAGAGAGAGAGAGAAAGAGAGGGAGGGAGAGGGAGGAGGGAGTGTCACTTTGGGGTTTATTTTCCATTTATTTTTCATTGTAAGATCATTTTCCAATCACTGGATTGATGAGAATGGCCTGGAGCGGTTTGATAACTATTATTTCATACAGAATAGCCTCCATTTTCAAACAGAGGATGTTATGATAGCAGGGGTCAAGTAGAGGGGTCACTTTTTCATTCAGATAAATAGAAAAGGAAATGACACATTAATGGCCACTACTCATCATGGTGGTCCTAGCACAGATTCGTCCAGCTGCAGCCTGGGTCACCCTGAAGATCGTAGGTAATATAAATAAATAAAATAAGTGTTTAATCAGTTTACAATAGACAGCGCCCATGTAAGTAAATGCATATGTTTGAATGGAGTTCCCACTATGAGACGAAACCTTATTCAAGCTGGATAAGTTCTAGATAAACCACAGATAAACCATGTGTACAACATTGTTACATACCAGGCACCACATTCAATGACAATAACAATACGGCTGTGACTAGGCCACAAGTTTTTTAACATAATTGCCATTGATTGTGGAATTATTACTGTGTCATGAACATTGCAGATTCGAATTGGGTTAAAATTCACCAAACTCATCGATAATCACTTCAATTATAGTACCCCCACAGGTCAAATGAATGCAGCTCAATCAGGGCTAAAGCCGCTGAAATTCTAATTAAACCCAATAGTGAACCTGACATCTTTAAAACACTTATGGGTAAAACATGTTGGTGGAAATTCTATAAACTGGTGAATCTTCAAATGAACATACAATATGTTAAAAGCCTTCT